ACACACACACACACACACACACAGAGAGAGAGAGAGAGAGAGAGAGAGAGAGAGAGAGAGAGAGAGAGAGAGAGAGAGAGAGAGAGAGAGAGAGAGAGAGGACCCCCACCCCCTGCCAGCTAGGGGCTGGTGCCGGGCAGGTGACAGCAGGCATGTGGTGGGCAGGTGGTGGGTTGGTGGCAGAGGAGGTGCCAACGGGTAGGTGGCGAAGCAGGTGCCAGGCAGGCAGGCGAAGGCAGGGGGGTAGCAGGCGGGTGGCTGCTAGGCGGTGTGTGTGTTGGGAGCCGGGGAGGGGGTGGCGGGGTCGTGTGTGTGTGTGTGTGTGTGTGTGTGTGTGTGTGTGTGTGTGTGTGTGTGTGCATATCTGCCTTTTCGGAAAGGGCATATCCAATTCCTACTGAAGTCGATGACCTGCGGGCTTGGGCCCTGATACAAGTGATTGATGAAATTGCATGCAGGCAAATACCTTAATCCCTCCCTCGGCTTCCTTTTGCAAGACCTTCCATACTAGAACTCGCCAGTGGTCCCACGACAACATAACCCCTTTCCAGACCCACTTCTCACCAGTCGCATAACAAAGAAATTTGGCCAAGCATAAGGAGAAACACTGGTGTGCACTACGCTGCAGCCTCAGGGCTGTGAACAGGAAACTTGGTGGCAACCAGCAACCCGCCCATGCGGACACCCTCCGAGCCACGCTGTCCCCGATCCCCTGTTTTTGGCCTCGTCCTCCATACCGACGAACCGCGACAAAAAGAGTAACCTCGCGTACAGAAGCTTCCCTGACCAGTCCCACGAGTTTCCCGGGACCGGTCAGTGCAGCGTCTGTCTGCCGGACCTGACCAGTCCGGTGGTCCGAAAAAAAAGACTGGCTGGTCTCAAGACACAGCCTAAGCCTCTCCAGACCCCACTTCCCGGTGGTCACCTGCACAAAAAAAAGGCCAACGTTGCTGACAGACACCACCCAGAGTAGAAGATCGAGCGCAGCCTTAGTGCTGCTGAGAGAAAACCGGGTGGCGGCCAGGAAACTGGCAACTTGGACCTCTGCCGAACCACTTGCTCGTCCCAAGACCCATCCTGAACCTCTCCAGACGCCACTTCCCAGCGGTCACCCGCACAAAAAAAAGGGTCAAGGTTGTGTGTGGACAGACACCACACCAGGCGGCGGCGGCGGAACTGGCGACTTGGACCTCTTCCGAACCACTCGTCGGTCCCAAGACCCATCCTAAACCTCTCCAGACCCCATGTCCCAGTGATCACCCGGACAAAAACTAAAGGCCAACGTTGCGGACAGACACCCCACCACAGTAGATCGAGTGCAGCCTTAGGGCTTTCGAGGGCAAAATGGGTGGCGGCCGGGAAGCCGGAAGCTCAGACCTTTTCGGAACCATGGTGGCCCCCTTTTCCTTGCTTTTTCGCCCCATCCAGCAGATCAACGGATCCGCGACAAAAAGGACCAATCGTGTGCACAGATGCCGCACCTGGGGGTCCCAGGAGTTGAAAGTACTTAACTCGGAAAAGAATAACACTGAAACCCCTCCAGACCCCACTTACCACGGGTCGATCGCCCCAAAAAAAGGCCAGCCTTGCCAACGGATGCCGCACTACACTAAACTGCAGCATAAGGGCTGTGAATTACCTACTTAGCTAGTTTTCATTTGTTTTTTTTTTGGTCAAAGGAGCATCAACTTGTCGTGCTGGCGGAGTTGGTAGGATCAGCCTCTGCTACTGTCTTCGCCCAAATAGAACGCCCGGTCATTCTAGCTGTATTTGGCAGAAATTCCAGTCTAGATACAGTGGTACTGACCATGTGTTAAATTTCGGTGAAGAAGGTAGGTAGCACTCCAGGCCTGATGACTCCAGTCTACTGGTGGGGAGCTGCGCCGGCCGGAAAATGGGTCCAGCGTCCCTTGAGTACCTACTTAAGCTAGTCGACTCAATTATGCAACTGATTGTCTTGGCTCATAGTTCGGGTACTCGATCGGTAATCTGATTTCTTGAATTATGTTGCTTGATAGATCGCTTAATTGTGATTTCGATCGGATTTGGGTAGATTCTTTTTCTTTTTTTTTTTTGCCCTTTGAACCACTAGTACCTTTGTCGTTTCGGAAAATAGCGGGCCTCCGACCTTTCAGGAGGCCGAAACGAAACGACGTCCGCCGATTAGATTTATCAATGGAAGCCGTCGTTGGGCCCAGCCTCCGGATTAGTGTGGAAGCATGGATTGGCACGACTGTTGCAAATAGATCAAGTGACAATTTGATGGGTTGATGGGTTTTGATGGTTTGATTTCTCAACAGATTTGATCTGATGACATCGTCTTATAGAAACATTTGCTCTCTCTCTCTCTCTCTCTCTCTCTCTCTCTCTCTCTCTGTGTGTGTGTGTGTGTGTGTTTCTGTTTCCGGCGG